ACACAAACAAACACAAGCCTCACACACAGACACACAGCTATATGGAGAGTTCCGAGACATGTACAGCAGAGTCGTATTGCCCAAAGGGCCTAAAGCCTCCTCTCCAGCCTGACGTGGACCATGACGCTGATGGGCTTGGACGCTGTTTGCACCCCGCTGGCACGAGTAGCATCTCCACGCAGATGCCCAGGCCGTTCTCAGTTTGGCAGAAACCCAGGTGGATCAGGACGGTTCTGTGTGGAAGGGGTCGCATCACACCCCCACTTGGACCCTGGGGCCACGGGGGACCACTCCTGATTTCTTTGGAATTCAGACATTGAAGCCAAACCCTGGAGGATGTGTCACCTGTGGTCGAGGCGTTTCGTCGATTCTGGTTGCTTTGGCCTGTAAGTCTCAATGGCAGTCGCCACGGGCACGCAAGTGCCTGCTTCGAGCGTCTGGAGACGCTCCAGTGGCTGCCGCGGCACGCAGGGCCCAGCGGGTCGCGGAGTATGAGCGGATGAAGCGGCAGAGCTTGCTGGATGCGGGAGCTGTGGGGCTACTAGGTGCACTTTTGGCATATGCTAACAACGGATCAGCAGCTTCAGAAGGATGGCTAGTAGGAGCAGTCTTCGGGACCATCTACCTGGTCCTGCTCTATCAGGATGTCAGTGTGATTACGGTAGATTCCAATCCATTTAGCTTTACGAATCCTCTGAGGATTCTTCGATTCTTGTTACCCTTTGGGATGGTTGTAGCTCTGGGTCTTCAACACGCTTCCATCATAGGGCTAGAAGAATGGTGGCAAAAGGTGAGCTGGGAGCCTGGAGTGAACTTCACTGGGGTGGTCTCTTCACCTGCGATGCTCTTCGGTGCCCTCTTGGCCTATGCGTCAGTTAGTGCCGTCCTGCCCCTCCGCGGGTTGGTCGAAACTCTGCCCGAAGCACGGACCTTAATGAAGGCAGTGCCTGGATCTTTGGGTGTGGCTCTGCAGTTGGCGGATGCAAAGGAGAAAGATGACACAGAGGATGTGGAAGTTGTGCCAGTTCTGCTGATCACAGGTCCCAGAGGATGTGGGAAAAGTACATTGGCCAAAGAGCTTATGAAGAAGGATCACCGCTTTCAAGAACCTGAATGGGTGGCCACCAAGCCATGCTCTAGCATGGGCAGTTCGCAACAAAGACTTGTGGCTCTGAGCGACTTTCAAGCACTTGAGGATTCGCGCTCCTTGGCAGTTTCTTACCGGCCTGCAGGCAGGGTTTCAGGATGAGTGATTGTTCCCACAATAATACGCAACATCAAGCAGCTAATTGCTGCACACTTACTAAGTGCTTCACGTGAAAGTTCTGAAGATGTTTGCAGGAGATGACTTGGAAGAGGTGGAGCTTGGCCTGCCTGCCATGTCTGTCTTGTCCACAGCTCAGGAGCATGGAGCTTGTATTCTGGACGTGGACCCTCCGACTGCTCGATTCATCCTGTCTTATAGCTTTGACCGAGCCTTGTCGGCGGCCTTCCCTGAGAAGAAAACAGAGATGCGACTGGTGACGGTTTGGGTCTCCATGCAGTCGCTGGATGACATCATGGAGCGAAACAGGCGCAGATTGGAGGAGAAAGGACTTGACAGTGAGATGATTCAAGAGCAGTTGAAGTCCTTGCGCGCCCAAGTGACTTCTGATATGGAGTGGGCTTTGACTAATAGCTTGGATTTTACAGTTATCAATGAAGATAAGGGAGCTGCGTTGTCCGAAGTCGTCAAGGCTTCACGCTACTGCTTTGAAGATCCATTCTGAGCCAGAGTGCTCTCAAAGTAGCGCGGCAAAAGGAAATGCCTATGAGCAAGGGTCTCCTGACATGTTTGCTTCTAATCCGAATGCAAGCCCTTTATAGTTTGTCAAGTGCTACTCCTTGTGCAGCTCAATGCTATCGATGCTGCCCTACCTTGTTGCTGAGGTCGCAGGCAATTGCTTCCACTGTACCTTGTCTGGTGTGAAGTGCGACCATAGCTCCGTGTTAGCTCATGAACACAGAAGAGAATGAGCAGTAGAATGTAGTACTGCAAAAAATAGTATATAAACATATCCTGGAGGTGCAGAAACGCATTGAACACGTTGACAATACCGGGTCATTTGCTGAGATTCTTGTCTATGCGGCCTTGAGTGGGCTGATCTTCATTGCAAAACGCATGGGGAAGAATGTGTCGGCAGTGGCCCCAGAGATCCAGTAGTTGCAACGGCTTAGCAGAACAGATAAGGCAAGCATGAATAATTGTAGAGAAACTTACATGCGGCTGACCAACTTCGTAGGACTTCACTGAACTCAACAATGCCTTCGTGCTCCAGACTGGCTTTTGCTGGGAAATGGCTGCGGAGCTGCAAGATGGAACTTCAAGACTCTGATATGGCTCCCCCCGAAAAGGGGTGGCAAATGCAGTAAACATAATAGTCAGCATGCCCAAGGAAGCTCCTTTCCACGGGCCCGTTCGAACAAGGAACTTCGAGACGGCTTCTCGGTGTCGGCCACCTTTTTCCGGCCTAGGCGATCTATGTTGGGCTGGTTGACTCGTTCACCTCACGGGTCTCCAACCCTAGCAGCAGGCGTGACATGCCATGACTGGGGAGCAATTTCAGGGCATCCGGAAAAAAGGCTTTGAGGTGGGAGGCATGTCTGTACTATACTTGTTAGGTATTGTTTGATTTGCCATTCACGCGTTCACGTTTTTTTTGAAAGCAGAAGGCTTGGAGAACAAATTTGCAAAAGAGAAAGAGAGAGATAGATAGATAGATATATATATATATGTCAAGAAGAATCCTTTCACATGCCATTCAGTCACTTGATGTCACTTGGATGTTTCTTGCTCGTTTGGTGGTTTCTTCCGTGCTGATGCTCAACATGCTCGGTAATGTTCAGCAGCTTGCAGGCGAACAGCAGCAATGGTGTCTTGGCCAGAAGTTTTGGCTCTCAAGGTGCGTGCTCATGATAGGGAGCTATGCAAATCACTGACCGAGGTTTGGATAGTCTTCTTGCTTGTCTTGATTCTCCCAGCATGGTTCTGGTGCCCCTTGCTTCGGTATCGCTTTCACTGCCAGAAGGCAGCTTCAAGGAAAACCAGACGATGCTCAGGTACATTCTTCCAAAAACGCTGAAGGCGGGAGTGTGGGGTTGACCACGAATGATTGAGCTCAGCTCCTGACAAATTAGCCAGGCAGAGGGCAAGGATCAAGAAGGCGCAAAAGGAAGCGAGGCCAAGTGCCGAGCCAATTGGGCGTATTGTCGGTTGAACACACACACACACACACTCACCAGAGTAACATGGCATGCAAGACCATCTCCCTTTTCCAGCTCCTGAATTGCTTCGCAACACTACTAGATGCTACTAGTACGTCACAGTAATTTTATTGCTGTTTTTTGCAGGGGCTACATATTTTTCGACATGCTTTCCACTATATAGTGTGCCAGGGAGATGCCAAGGATGCGAAGGATCCTCCAAAAGAGACACCAGCGAAGCCTGCAGAGCCCAAACCAGAAGAGCCCAAGGCGGATGCACCGACACCCGCAGCACCAGCACCGACACCGGAAGCTGCACCGGAAGCTGCGGCGACAGAGGCCAAGGCAGAGCCTGAAGGAGCAGAGGAGGCCTGAGTTGTTTTTCTTTTTTGATGTTTCTTTGCACTTCCAAAATGCAAGAAACCAGTGGCCTTTGACTGCGTGGTTTGTTCTGCATGTTTTCCTAAACAGTTAATTTGTCGCAAAGACGGTTGATAGTTGGTGAAGTTCCGCTCGAATTTGTTAGGAGTTCTGAGTCAAGTTTCGAAGCTCGGCGGAACAAGGGGTTGTTGGCATGTTTACTTATTCTGGGATGGCTCACTGGTTTGCCATATATGGCCGCCTCATCGCGCCATCAATTTAGGCGTGGGCTGTCAGGTTCATCCAGAAATTTAACAGAGCTAGACAAAGCTCATTTTGGCTCGATGCCGATGCCCGCAAAAGGCTATCAAACCATCACGATAACATATCCATGTATATACACACATATACGCACCTATTTATACACAAAGTCTAGAGTCTAGAGCTTCCGAAGCTTCCTCCAGCTAACATCGTTGACTTGTTGGTTTTTAGACTTGCATGCACATGGGCCAGTTGACCTGCAGCACCACAATGCGCGGCGCATTGTGGTGGGGCAGGTAAACTGGCCCATGCGCCGCAAACATTTGCAAACGTTGGTGTGAAGTTCTAGAGACAGAAACTTGTTCCTGGTATATAGTAAATTGTTCCCTGCATAGGGTGGGTTGTGGTGCCTTTTTTTGGTCATGCAGAAGGAAGATGCGTGTAGAAATATGAATTGCAACAGCCCCTCCTAGCGGTTCACAACCTGAGTGATTCATCGCCAGTTACAAGATTGATGGAAGAGCTGCGATGTTTGAATTTTCTTTCGACTCCAGTTTCCACGTGACGTTTGCATGGCATCTGAGGCACCTGCAAGGAGCACGAATTAAGAACTGACCCAACTGCGAGCTCAGATTTGAAGGAAAAGAACCGTGATTGTTTTTCATCGGCTCTTTTTTGCACAGAAATCAATGTCAACAGTACAGCACACATGCATAACGTGCACACGAATGTACACTACACATGTAGCAGTTCCTCAAAGCAGTCGACCTGAAACGCTAAGGACGAGAACAACAAATTATACAGCTAAAAGTTGTAAAGGGAAGACTAGGGGGTTTCAGACAATCCCAACTCAGCGCATTCGTCGTTAATATTTATGTCAATATCTCTGTCTGGCAGCCATGACAACCATGACAATGAAAGACATGTTTTTCTCCTTGTGGGACGTGGGGGCAGCTCTCTTGGGATGAAATGATTGACATGAACCGTATGTCAATTACATGCCGAGCCTTTCTTTGAGCTTATTATTTATTCTGTGTTAATCTATGTTTTTTGACCTTTAGACCCTTTTCATTTTGCCTTTGGGGCATGCTGAGCCTGCCAAGCCTTGATATGCTTGTTTGACTCGAAAGCTGCAGGCTGCTCCATGGCCCTTGCTTGTGCCTGGGCTTCTTTGGGCGAAAATGCGCAGCGGCGCTCCGACTGGGAAGCGCAGCGATCCTTTGTAGCCCGGGTCGAGCCTTGGCAAAGTGATTTGAGGACGACGACGGAAGACGAACGCCTTCAGTAATGACAACTCCTGGGCGCATTTGGTTGATTCCCCCTGGAATGTTCATTGGCAAGCTGGTGATTGAGGGGGTCACCAGCTACACAGAGTCGTATAAGACGCATAAGTGTGTATAATATATATAATATATAGCAATGTCCATGATTTGGGTGTCTTTTGCGAGCCTCCCGCCTTCAAGCGCCGGTGTCCTTGCTCAAGCCACACTCTTTCAGCATATCTTCCATGGCGATCTTCCACAGGGCTTTGGCTCGGCGCCTGAGCCTGGCTCCACCTCGACTCTTTGGGCGGGTCGGAGGGGTGCGGTTTTCAAGTGGTGCAAGTGAGGTTCCGAAGCCGACGCAACTCCAGATGCGGAGGCTTTTCATCACCTCCGCAGTACCCTTTGTGGCTTTCGGCATCGTTGATCAGAGTGTCCTCCTTTACGCCGGTGATGCCATTGACAACACCTTAGGGGTAACACTTGGTTTGCCCACCATGGCAGCTGCAGCCATGGGTCAGGTGGTGAGCGATACCTGCGGAGTGGCTTTTGGAGGTACCATTGAAGCAGCAGCTCTCAAACTGGGCCTTCCACTGCCTGGCTTGACAGATGCCCAGCAGCGATTGGGCAGTGTGAAAAGGACATCGACCTTGGGTGGTGTTTGTGGTGTGATTCTCGGGTGTTTCATTGGCATGGGCAACTTGCTCATCATCGACCTGAAAGCTGCTGAGCGGGCCAAGAAGGAGAAGGAGTTGGCGAAGATCATGAAAACCGTCATGGAGGATGGCCGGGCTGCCCTGGAGTGTGATCGGGCAACACTTTGGGCTGTGGAGGAGGATTGCAATGAGCTTTGGAGCACCTTCGCTTCGGGTGTCGATGGCAGTTTGCGAATACCCAAGAGTGAAAGCAGCATAGCAGGATGGGTAGCCTGCAACAACCAAATGGTCAACATACCCGATGTCACGAAAGACGACAGATGGGCCCGAAAAACAAACTCAGACTATGAGATCAAGTCTATGCTTTGCGCCCCAGTGGTTGTAGAAGACAAGGTTGTGGCTGTGATACAGCTGCTGAATAAGCTGAATCCGCAGGGCAAGACAGTAATCTTCGACGGGCCTGATGAACGGGCATTGAAAATGATGGCAGGCCACACTGCAATGTTTATGTCGCAACTGTCGTAGGTGGCCACTTTGTACATTAATTATCCGCAGGTTGGGCCCGCAAGTGTTTCTCCAGCCTGCTGCGCAGAAGAGTTTCAATTCAATCTGCTTTGTTTCAGAAATGAACGCGTCGTGAAAAAGCGCATGCCCGATTAAGTATTGAGGCAAGGCACCTTGGGAAGGCAGGGGCAGAGAATAATGTATACCAAAATGACATAGCATGTCAAGAGTTCGACAAGTAGAAATCTTGGGCTCACATCCAAGGAGGCTTCGCTTCGCCGCTTGGCCACACTGTGGTTGAGGGCACAATGACAATTTCAATCAATCCACTGTATTGAAGTAGTTGGAAGTTATGGTCATCGTCATAGCTGGACTCTTATCAGGTGATGTTGGTGACCATGATCACTTCAATGTAACGAGGTGCCATGCAGAGCAACTACACGATCCTGGACTGGTTGAGCTCCCAATGGCCAACCTTTAGGCATTCGCTCCCACAGCTTTTCGTCTTACCACCACGTGATTTGGAGAAGCGAATCTGGCCTCGGGAAGTGGAGTCAGATAGCTTGGGACATCTTGGGACATCTTGGGATATGCCCTTTTGACAAAGGGACACGTTTGCCTTGACAGGATTTTGCACAGGATGCAATTCAGCCTACTTCCAAAGGAAGCAGCTGATGTGGAAGAAGGTTGGGTTGAAGGTTTTCTTCTCTTTTTGCTGTGTTGCGTAGCTGGCAGGTTACTGGATGCAGAAGGACCTGGTGCCGCTGGAAGCTGACACAGGCCTCCGGCAGATTTCGATCCTCATGGCGGTACTACCGCGAGACTCCAGAAATAGAAATAAAATGAAATAAACCATAATGAACCCTCAAACCATCTCAAACCTACATCCACAAGTCAAGTCTTTAAATTTTTGATCAGGAAGACCGATGCGCTTTGTCTTCAACGTCGGCTTTTACAGGCAGCTCTGAGTTGTTCCTCGTGGGCCAGACTGACTTTGGCTGTTTTGTTTCAGAACCGCTCGCTGGCTCGATAGGCCAGATGCATTGTACATAGACGCGGCAGCTGACATTGCGACCTGGCCGGATGAACGCATGGTTGACATGATGCATCATGCTCTGACTGGTCCACACATGAGAGGAAGGTGGACAACCGATTTTTGCGTGCGTCCACACAAACTGCTGCCGTGATTTTACTACCTGAGGTCAGCACGGATATGCTTCGCACGCTGCCAGCTTTTTTTGGCCTACTCATGGCACGGCCTGGGGAGAGGCAGTTGCGATGTCAGACGGTCTGGGTTGGGACTGCGAGGATGTGCATGCTTGCAAGCTCAGATCGCAAGCAGCCGGCACATTAATTAAGTCTCAGCCAGGTGGAATCTGGGACTTGCATATACTTCGCCTCTTGGTTGGCAAAATAAATAGGCTCTGCCCACCAGAGTGCAAATTTTCATTCACCAGAAGCTCTCCTTCGATTGGCTGTTTTACGTCAGTGCAACACGTCTGGTGACCAGGAACGACTATGCAGATTTGATTCCCTCCAAGGACAAGAGAGTCAGATGCATAACACACCTCGCGCGCTTCAGGATTGGATGTCCAGCTTGATTTGTCAGGATTTGTGGAGACTGCACGCGAGCAAGCAGAAGCTTCTCTACATGCCAGAGCTCCAAGAGGTTCTGGGTGAGAAGGCCACAAGCCCGCTTAACCTTCACGAGTGGTTCAAGATGTGTAACCAAAACATCCCGGTTGCACCAGGACCAGCAATGCCGCGTGCAGCTTGGCGCTAGAGTTGAGATGTATAGAAGGGTATAATGAAACAAACATCGAAACTGACTGTTTGTCACGTTTGTGTTCTCTCTAATCTTTCAATGGCACAACCTGTGGCCAGGTACTATGAAGCGCCACCCAGCAGCACAGAAGTTACTCTTTGGATTCTTGACCCATCTTGACCCAGACCACGACAGATTTTTCTCAACTGCCCTCATCGTGGGTACTTTCGTACCACTTGATCCAAGGCTGAACCGCTGGCAGGTCAGTGGGAAGCTGGCGAGCCAGGTGAGCATCGGTGGAACCGACGTCGCCCACCTTTGGCGTGTGGGACCAACAGCTGCCCTTCCGTTCGATCCAGGTCGGTGGAATGCCACAGTGCTTCGATATGCCAACAGCTGCTACCAAGCTGAAAGCCTTTGCTGCCAAGCAGGACTGGGACCCTATGGAGGGCAGCTTCTTTAAGTCTTCATTTGCGTTTGCCAACTTCGACCGTTTTCATTCGTTCCCTTGTTCATCCATTTTCCTCTCAAGGATCGTATGGCCTTCGTGCGGAAGCCAGAAGGTCGCCCCGTGGCACATGGCCATGCTGCGGCGGTCGCCCTCTTTGAGTCTGACGAATTGAGGTGCTTGGGGCGGTCGTGGTATCGAGATCCGCTTTGGCATCGACGACCTCATTCCAGATGGTCAAGAACACGAGGCGCACCATTTTGATCCATTTTGCCATATTTGGCCCATTCCAGTCACAGGAAATGACATGAATATGAAACAATCAGGGCAAAAAGAGTATGAAGACATATGAAGAGATATGACAAGCACGAGTCCTGTGTGAGGCAACTGGCACATGTGAGTTCCAGCCATTAGAGGCCAGCCTTTGAACATGACAGAAGTACGCATCAAAAGGCTGTGACACTCTTTGCGTGCACACCCGAGCTTTGTGCACACCTGTTGGAAAAAACGGGTCAGTGGGGCGAGGATGCACAGTGCTTGGGCCTGACCGAAGCGGATGACCCACAAGCATTTGCCTCCAAGGAAGCTTGCAGTCACATGGCATACAAGCGTAAAATGATGACCTTGGAAGAACTGTCGAGAGCCGAAGTGATCCGTGCCATCACTCAGGTGATTCGTGCTGCAAGATGGGCCTTAGATGTGAGGCATGGAACTGGCGAAAGACCGAGGGTTGCTGGGTGACTTGCTTGAATTTTTGGTGCCATATTTGGCAATGGGGATCCTCTAGCTTCAGTGTTTGTTTGTCTCTTCTGAGCGGCAAGCATACCTATATATATATATTTTTTATTTATTTGTTTGGACCTTCATTGCTGCCCAAGGTTGGCAGCCCACGGTATTGCACACCATCCAACCCTTTCTACCTTGGTGGATGGAAAGGAGGGCGCCGCCTCCCTACAGTTGCTGCCAGCTCTGCCAAGCAGACTCTTTGCTAAAGCTGCCATCCCGTGTTGAGACATTCATGGATCTGTGAGTGTTGACCTGAACCCTCCAAAAGTTCAAATTCGACTCCCTCCATCTCACCTTCTCTTTATTGGGAAGATGTTTATTGTGATCCCATTGGCCACTTGATTTGAACGGCCCGGAGTGTCTTCCTCGAAAGCCAAGAAGGACAGACGTTGCCAAAGCTTATTGAGACGTGATATTCCTCCTTGTCAAGGCAGTTGTGTTTCTGGCATTGTGGACATTTGTCGAGAGATCTTTGTTTCACCCAACGTGCCCAGAGATTGTGCCAAGGAGGGCGGTCGTGCAGCAATACATTGTGGATCCAGTCCAGTACCGGAAGCTTGGAAGCAAGATGCAAGATGTGAACAAATGGATGACAAGTAGCGACCCACAGTCACAGAAACGAAAGGCCCGGCAAGGGATGGCAAGGGTCAAGCGGCTGTGGATCATGGCACCCGGATCCCCTTTCAGGGTAGCTTGTCCTCCTTAATTAATCATCCATTCTGTTCATTTCTACCTGGTTAACCCAGGTAGATCAGGAAAGGCCCAGTGCCATGACCCACAGCCGATCGACACATTTCCCAGTCTTGACAGCCAAGAGCGGAGGTTGGAAGGCATTTGGCCACCAATCACCGTGAAGACTGACATCCGGATCTATGGAACAGTGGTTTCGATGGATCCGTTCCGCATCTTGGACATCACATGGCAAGGGTTGTGGCACCTGAAGCTTTGACAGTTGGGTGGAGGGGCACTTTGTACACTTTTTTTCTTGTGATGCTGGTGGAATCCTGCACAGCCTGCACCTCAAGGTTTTTATGTCAGCGAGTATGGACACTTGGGTGCATGTTATTTTTTTTCACACTCTCATAGTCCATTCCCTACTCCTCAAGAGATCTCGGAACCCAGCCGCTTTCTGAGGCTATTTCCGGTCGGGCTTTTTGGAGAAAAACTACTCGGCCCAGCGCAACGAGGACTTTGAGGAGCTCTCAGTGATTGGTTGAGCCTTGCAACATAACGATATATATATATAACGATTTTGTTACGATCATCCAGAGAACGGTTGGCCGCTTTGAAAGGACCTGTTAATGCACGTGACCCACCACATTCCAAAGATTGAGGCACAGAGACCATGTCCAGACCGAAAGAAAGTGAGAGCGCGCCTTGCCCTCAGGCGGGGACCTATCAATGTCCAACAGCTCCAAGCTGGGAGCATCCGGAGGGTGCTGAGCACGATGCAGGCTCCGGAGGCGAGAGCCAAGAATCGCGTCGATGCTAGTTCAACCGAACGGCAGTTCTTCAGGCATGTACTGTACTCTGATGTACTCTGTTGGACTGTGTTCAGTTTCTTCAATCAGAGTTCGTTTGTGACTGAAGACTGGGTCACTAAGTCTAAGCAGTCTAAGCAGCTGTTCTTCCAATGCAGCAGGCTCCCTGCACAAGTGGTTTCGCATTGCGGAGGAGCAGAATGGTTTGGATCGAAGGGTGTCGGACTTGGAAGTATTGATGTGCACTCATGGGTGAAAGGAGTCAGCAATCTTGCCATGTTGTGGTTGTCCCAGATGTCCTGTTCAAGGAAGTGTGGAAGAACATCAAGCTCTCACTGGCCGTTTTCCTGCTGCCTGGCTTTGTCTGTAGAAATTGCGGGCCTTCGGGGATTGATTGTATTCCAAACGGGCGCCTCCTAGCATCAAGCGTCTTTAAGTGAGAAGCAGAACCAGGCTAAAAGGTGCGCAAAGAGTCTTAGAGGTAAAAAGATGTAAAAAGAGGCTTAGACTAAAGCAGTTTTTGGAGACAAAGGAGGTGGAGAGATGCAAAAAGTCCACAGAGGCGTAGCTTTGCGAAGTGAATGATGCTCGCAAGAAACAGCGGGGCTTCGAGGTGCAAAGAGGCAGAGCGAAGTCGAGATGAGGCTTAGTTTTTCTGTTTCCAAGGTCTTTAACAATATATATATATACATAGTATAGCATTCCTATTCGGGAATTAAACGGCCTGGCCATATTTCCCCAAGAGCCGACCACACGGGTGTGTCGAGTACCTACTTCACAACAGATTGACCTTGAAAAACATTGCATTTTCGCAGTATCAGTATATAACATATGCTTACTTTTGCCCAGTACTCTCCATAGGCCTTGCGTGGTAGAACACATGGTAATTACACATTTTGACTGTTTCTTCCAAGAAAACGCCTCAGCTTGGGACTATGACTAAGCCCTAGCTGGCCGTTTTCTAAAGCTGGATCGCCAGTGCGTAGCACCGCTTCGACAAACCTGCCTGCGGTGCCTCCTCGCAGCCTGCGCACAACACCTGCAACGCACCAATCCACCAAAAGAGGTTGTCATGTGGCCGTTTGTCTTCACTTTAGAGCTGTCAAATGACTAAGAGGCGCAAAGAGAGGTGTACAGGAGCAACGGCTCCATTGTAGCCACGCTGCCGAGAGAGAGAGAGAGGGAGAGGGGGACAAACGTGAACCTTTGAGCTTTGATGCCGCGAATGCGCTACCAGACGCTGCTTTGAAGAGTCGCCAGCCATAGATGCCGACAGGCTGAAGTGAAGGCGTTGGAGAAATAGGAAAGCAGACTTGGCTTGCTTTTCTCGCTCCACCTTCAGGTTATCAGCGAGAGAGAAGCTGAACTGTGCTTCCAATGTGCCACAGATGCACCCAGACATGCCAAGTATGTAAGAATGAAAGGCTTAAATAGGTCAGAATCGACGTGATGCACAGCAACCAAAGGGTCTGGGAAAGCTGCGTGCCCGAAGTTGGAAAAATGTGGTTGAGCACGAGCTTGCCCTAGGCAGTGCCACATGCTTGCGGCTCTGTCGGCTTCCATTTCTTCTCAGACCTCGTTGTGGACAGACAGGGCAGGGCTGCTAGGCGACACTTAGACCCAGCCCGGATCGGCTAGTCCCTCGTGACAGAAAGCAATCGGGTCTCAAGCTGGAAGCTTCGTCAGAAGCTGACAACTCCATACCCAAATTCACACGGCGTGACGAACTCCCAGAAGAACTGATCCCAGGGAATCGTACTCTGACGGGCCATGTAGAGTGAAACCGTTTCTCCAAGGCCTGGCTCATGGAGATCCACCCCACTTTGGCCATCAAATCGCCCGGCCTGGGAGATCCTGAAGCTGGCTGGGCCTGGGACCCAGAAAAAAAGAGACAGAAAGGAACTGTGAAGAGAAAGAAATGATCAAGGCATGTTAGGCTATGTTAGGCTAGGATGTTGGACGAGTGAGACATTTTCATAAATCTTCAAAGAGTATGGCACGTCTCAATGCTGAGCATCCTGTGTGAGCAAGGTGGAGGTTCTTACACGTTCGACACGTCAAGGGACTCTTGGAACCTTGTCCAGGACTAACCTGACCCGGCTGGCTTAGACGGCTATAGTTGGGGGGGCGATGCCTCACAGCAGGTAGAAAATTCTGTTTATCGCAGCATTTGAGTCATCCGTTTGTCACCCTTTGCGATTCCTCCGATCGTTTGTCATCCAAGGATCGTTGGCAATGAGCTTCCTGGGCTGGGCAGACCTTCCATACCGCCAGTGGGCGGCCAACACCCAAGTAGAACTTCCTTGCGAAGATGGGTGCAAGTCATGCGCGTTGATCAGTGACTGTGGTTTCTTGCCGAAGTGCAGAAGGAATCATCTCCGTGGCCATTTTGACTCAAGCTTTAGCCACTTTAGCCCAATGATCTTTGAATGATTTGAATGCTACTTGCCTAGGAGAATGGGTGCTGTTGCCTTACAAGCGCCGGCTTTCGTTTTGTCTCCTTCTACAACGGCAATCCCCAGACGTCCGGCATCTGCCGAAGCTCAACTGTGGGGCGCATCCGGAGCGTGCCCAGCAGCACAAGCCTGTCTCATTGGTGCTTTGTTTCCTGGGGCACTGCGGTTGGCCAGGAAGCCCAACCGAAGGACATACCATCACAAGAGCCACAAGATTCAACGTTGCGCAGCTGCCACAGACTCTGTGCCGGTGGACCGTGAGCGCTACACAGATGCAGCATGGCAAGCAATGCAGGATGCACCACAGATTGCGGAACAGTGCCAATCTCAGTATGTGGAGCCCGAACATGTGTTTCTAGCCTGCTTGGACCAGCAAGTCTCCACCACTGGAGGCCTGTGTGCCCGGATCCTCGAAAAGGTGGGGATTGCCAAGCAGGCAGCCAAAGATCGGATCATGGATTGGAACAGCAAACAGCCAAAGGTGACATCGCCTGGGAGTTCCATGGGTAGCGCAGCATCCCGAAGTCTCGTGACCATGATTTCTCAAGCTGACGCAGCCACTTCGGCATGGGGTGACAAGTACATCTCTGTGGAGCACCTGGTCCTTGCCTTTTGCAAGGATGATCGCTGTGGAAAACGCTTCTTCTCAGATGTTGGCGTTGATGAAGCCCAACTCAAAAAGGCCATTGATGAGGTACGCGGCAGCAGCAAGGTCACCAGTCAGAACCCTGAGAACACCTATGAAGCACTCAAGACATATGGCACAGATTTGACCAGCATGGCCCGAGAAGGAAAGCTCGACCCCGTCATCGGCAGAGATGACGAGATCAGGCGAGTGATCCAGATCCTCGCCAGGAGATCCAAAAACAACCCAGTCATTATAGGCGAGCCTGGTGTTGGCAAGACTGCTATTGTCGAAGGATTGGCACGACGGATCATTGATGGTGATGTTCCACAGGCCTTGAAGGACAAGGAGGTGATCTCATTAGATATTGGAGGCATGGTCGCCGGTGCCAAATTTCGAGGTGAGTTTGAGGAACGATTGAAAGCAGTATTGAAAGAGATCAAGGATTCAGATGGCAAGATCATTTCGTTCATCGATGAAATCCACACCATCGTGGGTGCCGGAGCTAGTGGTGGTGCCATGGACGCTGGGAACTTGCTGAAGCCCTTGCTTGCTCGAGGGGAGCTGCGCTGTGTGGGTGCAACTACTTTAGATGAATACCGGCAGTATATCGAGAAGGACCCGGCATTGGAACGGCGTTTTCAGCAAGTTTTGGTGCAAGAGCCCAAAGTCCCTGATTGCATCAGCATTTTGCGAGGGCTCAAGCCCCGCTATGAGTTGCACCATGGTGTGCGCATTTCAGACAGGGCGGTTGTGGCGGCAGCCGTTTTGAGTGACCGCTACATCTCGGACCGCTTCCTTCCCGACAAGGCAATTGACCTCATGGATGAAGCTTCTGCCAAAGTGAAAATGGAAGTGACCTCCAAGCCCGCAGAACTGGAGCGCCTGGACAGGAAGATTCTGCAATTAGAAATGGAGAGGTTGAGTGTGGGTGAAGATAAGGACAGCCAATCAGTTGCCCGCATGGAGGGCATCAACGAAGAGTTGGACAAGCTTCGGGCTGCCCAGAGTGAGCAAGAAGAGAAATGGCAGAAAGAGCGTGAAGTTATCAATAGCTTGCAAGACCTCCGCCAGCAAATTGAGAATCTCGAGCGGGAGCTTGCAGAGGCCGAGCGTAGCTTCAACTTGGAAAGAGCTGGGCAGATCAAGTATGGCGAACTCTTGGCCGCGCAGAAGAAGATGGAAGAGGCTGAGTTGAATGCTAGCAATGAGGATGACAGCGCAGAGCTGGTGAATGAACGTGATATCCAAGAGATTGTAGCAATGCAGACTGGCATTCCAGTGGAGAAGATGTCCATGGGAGATCGCCAACGGCTGCTGAACCTGGAGGAGCAGCTACACAAGCGTTTGATTGGTCAGGATGACGCAGTTCGTGCCCTTGCTGAGGCAATTCAGCGATCGCGCTACGGACTCGCAGACCCCAATCGACCAATTGCCTCCTGCCTCTTCTTGGGTCCGACAGGAGTTGGCAAAACAGAGCTGGCGAAGTCCCTAGCTGAGTGGCTTTTTGATTCAGAGGAAGCTTTGATCCGAGTGGACATGTCCGAATACATGGAGAAGTTTGCCGTGTCTCGTTTGACAGGGGCGCCTCCAGGCTATGTGGGTTATGAAGAGGGTGGACAGCTCACTGAGCCAGTACGAAGGCGGCCCTACTGTGTCCTGCTCTTCGATGAGATGGAGAAAGCACATCCAGATGTCTTCAATTTGTTGCTGCAGATCCTTGATGATGGAAGATGCACCGATTCGCAGGGCCGGACCGTTGATTTCAAGAATACCGTCATCATCATGACATCCAATGTGGGAAGTGATGCGATTGCAGAGTTGGGCAACGATGGCAATGCGGCAGAAAAGATGGAACAGGTCACTGAAGCTGTGCGTGAAGCCATGGCTGATGTGTTCCGTCCCGAGTTCCTCAACCGCATCGATGAGAACATCATATTTAGACCTTTGAACCGTGCAGACTTGAGGGAGATTGCCAAGCTGCAGCTGAATCGGGTTGAGAAGAGGCTTGCTGACAGGAACATTTCAATCGAAGTTAGCGAAGCTGCCCTTGATTTGATTGCTCAGCGTGGCTATGATCCAACCTTTGGCGCCAGGCCAATCAAGCGATCCATCGTAGCCAACGTGGAGACACCATTGGCACAGAAGGGCCTCAGAGGTGAGTTTAATGACGGTGACACTGTCAAAATTGATGCCTCTGGTGACGAGCTCACCTATACGAGCACATGAGCCTTTTGATCAAGCTGATCAGGGCAAGGTTACCAAGTAGAGTGGCTGTGCTGGCCACCAAGACCCCGCCAATCTATACGTTTCCGTAGGCAAAAACAGCGTTGTGAAGGAGGCCCAGTGAGGCTGCTTTTCAACTATGCGGTCCCATCTCAGGCCAGGTTGCATTCATCTCCTGGGCTGCATTGGCCTCTCTCACTTCTCTCATTGCATGTTTGCTCCTCTCACACTTGGCAACCTCTCACTTGGTCAGCACATGTCAGCACATGTTCTCGAATCGTTTTTTATGCTTTCGGCTTTCGTTTACGGAGCTATTTATTTGCATATCGCGTCTTCCTCATATCATTTCATCCAACTGTTGCACGTTGGTGTAGTTTCTGCAGACAAGGACTTTCGCTCACGGGTTGAAATCTCATGCTGCCGAGGAATCATTGTTGAAAGCCAAGCTTCTATCACGCCACCGCTGGTGGCTTGAAGTTCGAGGCCGGGTGCAAGGTAGTCAGGAGGGAGAAAGACAGACAAACCAAGTCACCTTGCAGCCGACATTTGCAGAACAAAGGCTTGGAGCGCCACCTCCAACAGCAACGCAGGCTGATGCCAGGCTTGGTGCTGTGGGATGTGAAGTTAACGTAAATTAGGCAGGGTAGGGCTAGCATTGTGCACATGATATTGATGTTGAGTTCTAGCCAACCTCAAAAAGGAAGTAGCCTGTTGTTGACATTTGCTTGCACTCTGAATTATTGCTCTGGAATCGTTCTGGCGTCATGTTTTCCCGTGTTTTCCCACATCGTCAACCAATTGCAAGTTCCAAACTTTCACGGTCTCCAGCGTCCTCGTGTGACGCCATGTGGAACCACGAGCGCATACGAGCGCTGGGAGACGGAATGGAATGCAGGTGCATCCGTCAGTGTTCATTGGATACACCAAGAACGGCTTGGCGACGGCAGATCTTAGCAGGTTGCCGCCGATTCTCTGGACCATTCGAGTTATGGCACTGACCAGGGGTGCGAGTTATGGCACCTGCTCCAGAAGCTTCGGAAGCGGAACGCCGTGGAGAATGGTGGCCTTTGATTGAAGTGAAGATTCAAAAAAAACGCTCCAGCAAGTCCGGTTCAGAAAGCCTGCAACAAGAAGCAGAATCAGAAACGGACACTAATTAAGACAGAACAAAATAAGTATATATTAATATATATATACTGTATATACACCGTATGCGCCCCCAAAGTGCATACTGCTTCCTCAGTCAGTACAGGATGCCAAAACTAACTAGCTCATGTGTCAGCTTAGCGCACACGAGAAGATTGGGAAACTGTAGACACTGGAGTTGGGCAAAGTACGACAATACAACTGTCAACGTTTCACCAGGGATCAAGCATGTGAGTCAGGCTCTTTTTCACCCCGAGCTGATATCATTGCTAGATTCTAAATACTATAGCTTGAAGACAAATTGTGGGTTGACACATTGTCATTCAACTCATTCATGTATTGGCACCGGGATGTCCCTTTTCAAGTGTGTGCAGATCACTTTACTATAGAGTCCTTGTATCTTGGTCTGCGCAATGGCGCGCCGCTGCAGCATCCTCAAACATGCCTGCTTGCTACTTACCTTTCTTGGCCCCTGGGCATTCATCAGGCTGGCGCCTTGGGGCCTTGTTATGCCTTTCTGAAAGGGCACGTCGTGTTCTCCAAAGTGAACGCCCTCAGGATGCCAACAGGGAGGTCCGGGGTTGGCCGCACACTGTCAGCGCGGCGCGCTCAAGAGAATCCATTTGATGCTCCGATCTCAGTTTGGTTGAATCTGAGATCTGGTGCTATTCAGACTGTTTGTCTACGTCAGGTGCTTGGCCTGCCGCGTGGCACCAGCAAGACTGACTCTTGGCATTCCATGGCAAGCTGGGTGTGTGTGCACTGGGGTAGGCACGGATACCTGCAGTGTACGCCCAAGCCTAGCCTCGGAGAAGGGAAGCATGCTGAGTTGTTATTGTCATTTTACCAGGCCCCAGTGCCTGGGAGGTGGCAGCAGTCATGCAGGCTGTTTGGCGGCTGTTTTGCGTTGAATTTCTTCAGTCAAAACGGTGCGTTGCTCAAGGCCCGCAGGGCTTGTTGCTAGTAGGGCCTTAGGAGGGTCTTCGTCTTCCAGCCCAGAGCGAGTTCTGAAGATGCCATTTAGCATGCTGAAGACTGAAGATGTCGTTTTGTTTTTTTGCCATCGCCTTTATGATCAACTGCTTCGAGTCTTGTCAAGCCCAATTTGTTTAGGCCACCCGCAAGTCCTTCAGACAAATTGCGCTTGCAGAGCACCCAGACGTGAATCCGGAAGACCCAGAAGCAAAGGAGCGCAGCTGGGCTGAAAGGAGTTGACCGTGTGGGCTGTGCAGCGCAGCTGGTGCTTTTGATGTGCGCATTGTCAGGCCATGCAGAGCGTGTCACATTGACCCCCAAGGATTTCAGAAGCTGGTGACAGCCTACAACGCCTCCCAACAGCACTAGTTGGTGGACACGTTAGATGGGGAAGAGGTTAACGGGACATCATGGCAGTCGTGACGCGTGGCCCCGCTAGAACGAAGGCCAACCAAGAGCTCTCGCTGAGGCCATCATGGGTGATGAGATCTTACCAGATGAGGTCATGGAGATCAGGGTGCAGATGACCAAGCGCTACCAAGAGCAACCTGACAAGCGGCCCCTGTCAAAAGCGAGATGGGCTTTCGCACTGGTTCAGCAGATTTCAGGAGGGCCTAAAATGTCATGATATGAGATCATCAGCCGAGGCGAATGAAGGATGAGATGCGAGCTGCCAGCGGCTTTATGTTCATGGGCAGCGCGCGGCTAGTTCAAGGAGTGACTCGGTCAAACCTGGATCAGGATAGTAGGTGCCATGCTGTGCTCCACACGTGTCACATGCCAGCAGTTCACAAGATTATAAGATTGCACCGAAAGCTTTCTACAAGATGTGAAGTCGTCGTGACTAGAATACTGGAAAAGCTGGGCCAGAGTGGGGCGGAACATCTCAGGTTGCTACGGTCATATTCTTTGGGATTCTATTTGCCTAGATCCCAGCTTGAAGTGGCCAAGATTGGTGATGATTGGTGAACACTTGCAGCTTGTTTGTCTCGAAAGCTTCGCATGTCTCAGGCCTTAAGCCAGTCAGATCAGGATACCGTGACGTTTTTGCTGATGCCTCCTCAACGGCGAGGCTTTTGAATGCATAGAATCGAACAAGTCTCGGGGACGTCCGATGCGCAGCTTTTGTGCGCTCGATCGACTGGGACGTCCCGGCCACAGGGGGGCACAGGATTCAAAAAGGGACCACCACACCACCACTACCACCATATTTGTGATGGGGCCAGGAATCCGATTCACATCTGGCAGGGAATCGACCCCTGCAATCATTTTCAGGGATCAAGCAGCTCTGAAGGCTCCAGCGCTCACGAACCGTTGGCGATTGCTACGCCGTTGTAGTTCAGAGCGAATGATGCTTCGTCTCACCAGGGATCAATATGGATCACTGCTTATCAATTTTCGCTTGTTCCAGCCCAAGCAACGGCAGAAAGAAAGGTTGAGTGGCACCAAGTGACTAACAAAAGGACACACTTTTGTCCACGAGATGCAGGTTGGAGTTGGGAGGCTCCGAGTATTGCAGGCCTTTTGTCCAAGATCTTGGTTGAGGACTTGGGCTTTGCACCACTAAGGGGTCACCGGTCACTGCATGTGGAAAGGTTTTATCAAACGTGCTTCGCTCAAGGAGCACTTGGCCTGCCGCGTGGCCGTGGTCCAGGTGCCGGTTAGGTAAAAAATACCGAATACCTGCGCCGGCTTTTTGCCTAAGGAAGGGTTGAAACACATTGAGAAACACATTTGGATATATACAGGGAACGCAGCTTGCATGTCAGCTTGAACGTGTTTGGGAACTTCATTGAACTGCCTAAGCCACTCCTGCACAAGCACGGCGGCTGTGTTGGTGTGGGTGGCTCAAGCACTTATATAATCATATGATGTACTGACGAAATGGGAAAGGCTGCCGACGACACGATGAGTCAAATGCTCATGTTTCGCTGGCAATTCTCAGACAAGTGAATCTTGCTCAAACAGCGTTGAGTATTAGAAGCAAATCAGTGCTATAGCTGTTGTTCACCGATGACCTTTGTTCCAAACCCGCCTGCCATGCGAGTTGGTGCAGCAAAGGCCACCAAGCGCGGGTTTGTGCTTGTAGCTTCTTGGCTTGCAAGTTTGCAAGCGACCCCACCCACACACTAGCACTAGCACGTTTGTTTTCTGAGATCGCAGGGCAAATGCAAGCACAGCACACGTATCGCCAGTCCAACCACCAACATGTCCCTCGAGAACATTTTGGCAATGAATTTTCTTAATGTGTTCTTACGGGTTCTTCATGTTTTTGCATCCAAGGTTTTGCCCCTAGTGACCTTCCTATTATGGTCGGGGGGGCATGGCTTTATTGTTCCTGGTCGAAGAGCAGCTTTGATGGGCTTGACACCGGCACTTCTGCACCTTGGCACTATATACTTTCTGGGACTTTCCCTGCATTTCCGTGTATTCGTAACATTTACCATGTTCTTGCACCCCTTACTGGTGCAGTTCCATGGTCGAGAAGCTCCAAAGGCATGACTTTGGTATGACATTTGGGAGCAGCTGTGCCATGCGGAAGAAGGGTTGGGGTATGACTTGGGCATGACTTATATATATAGGCTTCCCCTGTGTGTATATCCTGCAGTCGGATAGACATGGCCACATACCTTGAATTGAGCATAATTGAACTATTTGTTTGCCTGCCAGTTTTGACAGCACACTGAAGGAAACATCCACCAGACACGAATACTTGTCCATTCTTGGAGGCCCGCAGCCAGCTTTGCGCAAGTTCCAGCCTGGCAGGGCCGCTTGGAAAAGCCAAGTAAATAGAACAAAATAGTTCCTGTCAATTGTCAAGACGCGTCACACACCAGAGGCGATTTGAATTATTGGGCTTCGAGTTGTGATAGCTTTTCATGTGTCTACCGCATAATGCTCAACCCTCAGGGTCTTATGAAGATCCTGAGCATCCTGGGTGCAAGAGAGAAGTGCGGGTGGAGGGCATGCAAGCCGCCCGGCTAGACCAAATCTGTCAAGCAGGGAAACTGGTTTTGCCAACAAGGATCAACAAAAAGCATCCGTGTGCAACTTTGAGCAGGTGGCAAAGTATTTTGCCCGACTACCAGTTATTGTCCAAGTGAACCAAGGTCAAGATCGATGCAGCCGAGGGAAAGCCGGGCTGCGGAAATGGGGAAAAGGAGCTTTTGTGGTGCAACTGTGATAGTGTATGTTCTTTTTTCAAGCGTTCGTGCTTTTTGAGTGTTCGTCCCTGCTTTTCTTTAATATTTGAAGTTCCTTTCCTTTTTTTTTTGTGCTTGTCTTGCTTGTGGCTGCAGCCGTCGTAGGAGCGCGAGTGGAGTGTGACCGGCAAGCTGAGTTTGGCGGCCTACAACGAGATGATACTTGACATGCGAACCCGTGGAGGTCCAGAACGCGTGATCGTTCCTTGGCTCTGACAGAATTGAGTGGGAAGGTGAACGTGTGTAGTGTAGTGTTTGGTCAAGAGGACACAGCACCATAAAGCCGAATGAAAAGCCAGCGACGAGTCATGTGAGAATAGAGAGAGAGAGAGAATGCTCAAGTGATGTGACATGCTGATAAATGCTTGGCATTTTCTCTGCTTCCTCATTTGGATCGTACTGACTGTGTAGATGTCGAGGTGACCTGGGAGGGGAACGCCATCCGCTTCCCTGAAGGCAACTTCAAAGGTGAATGGATCAAGAAAGGAGGGCTGCCATGACCCGAAGGAGCGCCGTGTGGCCCCCTAAAGGGCAACCGCTGATCGACGGTGGGTGAAGGCGGTGCCAGTCAGCACAGCTGTTGAACATATCGCACATCACCTTGGCTTGTGAACCTTGCCCAAAAAACATCGAAAAAACAAATGCGCGGGGACAAGGGTAGTATATAAAGATCATAGAAAGTTCTCCTTTCGTAGCAACGCAAAGCACGCATTCACCATTCGTCAACACGGAAAATTAGGACTGAGCCATGGAGTCAGCTCTGTCGAAGCGAGACCTGTCATCGACTGGCGAGATGTCGCTGCAAAGATTTTCTGCAGAGATACTGCATCTAGAGAGAAAAATGATTGCACTGACCCATGAGCATGCTAGTCCCGAATCAAGCACGCATCAGTTGAAGATCGTGATAGTGACGTGTTGAATCTTCGCAGGTGCTTCCTGCCATGTGGACAGATGTATCTGAAATTGTCGGACCGACCAGCAGCGGTGACCCCTTTGCAGGCCAAAGCAATGGATGTTTGCTGTTAAATTGCAGGAGTGGTCAAAGTTGGACCAGATGAGTCGCATGAACCAATTGTTGGTTGGTACTCCATGTTGAGTTAGTGACGTCGGGGCATAGAGAGAGCCGCTCACGGGGGTGATTCCGACCACAAGCTCAATTTATGAGTTCCTGCAGGACCCCATAAGCATGCAAACTTAGATCCACTGCCTTGTATGGGAATTTCTAAGTCTTGGCTTTCCTGAAATCCGCTGGATGAAGAGCATTATATATTAGGAGCTCTCCACCATCTCCACCCCCTTTTCTGCTGACTAGGCCTCCGCAACTTCTATCGCCTTTTGCGAGCAGCTCGTGAGGTGATCAGGCAGTATGGGCCAGCACCAGGACCGAGTTGTCTCGAGATATTAACAGACTGATGTAAGCCCTAGTAGCGTTCTTGCTCCTAGTATATAAGTAGTAAGGCCAGGAGCCCCTAGTAGCGTTTAGTAAGGCCAGGAGCCCCTAGTAGCGTTCTTGCTCCTAGTAGTTAAGGCCAGGAGCCCCTAGTAGCGTTGGACTATGACAAATGTTGTAATTAGTTACTGTAATATTTTAGAGACCTTGTCACAGGGTGCACCAGGCCCTATTGTTGACCACGAGTGAATGTGAACATTGAGAGCACTCGCTCCCCAGACAAGTCTCCTCAAGCCGCTTAAGCCGTAGCTCTTCGGGGATCTAGTTTGTATCATGTTTCCTTTTGGCGGGAGGCTCTCATTCATCATGTCCCGTTTCTTCCCGCAGCAACTTGTACTCACCTGAGTGTCCTTTGCAGCCTAAACCCTGCATTTTTGAGACAAGCCCCGAGCTCCTAGTGTTTGAAACCCTGCAACAGTTCTGCGATTGTGTGAAAACGGTTAATGCACATGGATATGCAGCCTGCCATGTGCGCAGGCTGTGCACTACTGTGCGCAGCCTGTTTGAATCAGGACTCCCACGATACCAGAATACTCCATCCTAGTTGAACGTGATTCTTGCATTAGTTCTTTGCTTCCACCCACTGCCTGACGCGAAATCGCTTCCAGAATATTCGCCCGCAGAAGTGCGAAGAGGAGATCTTCGCCCGCAGAAGTGCGAAGCAGTTGACTTCAACCTCGGAACTGTGTGGGATCAGCACCTTGGCAGTGCCAATAGGCACAAGGCAGCGGTGTGGCGGTTGGCTGTATATCCAACTTCTGGGTGTTTGCCGCTAATTGCCTCCTCAAGGGATACGTTTTGATGGTTTGGCTATGTTTGGCATTGTTTGGCTCCAAGTTTCTTGAACACTGCTGCGCAATCACATGGCAAGTAGTTGGGGTTCGTATTCTCAGGAGGAGTGGTTGCCTTCAGATTTTGATACCATATTCTATCGAAGCACATTGCAGCTATTGAACTGCTACTGTATTGCACCTTTGGAACTGCTGCATTCCATATTGCACCGTTTTTTCTGGCAAATGGCCTAACCAACCGAAAGCGCAAGGGCAGTAGCAAGCGATGGTCTCAAGAGCGAGGATGGTCACCCGTGTGGCCGCCCTCTTGCGTCTTCTGCTAATGCTAGCTGGGCCTAGCCACCATTTGGAACTGTCCTTCCTGCAGGGGTTCGCTGGAGACTTGTTTTGAACCTCTCTCGAAGCAGCTCGATCTCGATACGAGGCCTTGGGAGCGTGCGTCCCGGCGGTTCCAGTGATCGCAAAAAAGGAGCTCTCGCTGCGATGAGTTGGTCATATTCAGCAGTTGGTCCATTTGTGTCACTTATGGAGCTGAGTTTGGTCATTGAATTTCATTGAAGATGGTGGAATCGAACGGCAAGTTGGGTAACATTGGTTGTGTAGGATCACTCACTTTGGGCAGGTTTCCCCTGTTGA